ATTATCTCATGGTGTGTGTGTGTGTCTTTGTGTTTTAATTTTTTATTTCTTATTATTATTTAAATTTGTTATAAGGCATGAGTGCTCACCAGAGAGAAACAGAGAGAGAGAGGGAAAGTGAGAAAGTAAGTCACCAGGTTTGGGACTTGAACTGTGGTTGGCCATGTGGGAATCCAGCACCTCAACTACCACGCCACATACTAGTCCCCATTAATGTGTTTTTAGTTTGTATTTCTCTTATGACAAGAGACTTTGAACATATTTTCACATGCCTCTTGGCCATTTGTAAGTCTTCCTTGGAGAGTTATCTGTTCTTTTTATTGGAGAGGTTTTTGCTATAGAGCACATGTGCTCGGCAGAAAGACAGAGAGAGAAAGAGAAACAGAAAGAGAGAAATCACTCCCCAGGGAGGATGGCCATGCCACAATCCTTTCTCCTTCATTCTCCTCTCGGGATCTTGGGCATACACGCACACACACCCAGCATGAGTTTCAGCCACCAAGTCTGAAACTCAAACCACGGTTGACTACATGGGAGTCCAGTGACATAGCCATCTTGCCAACTGTTGGTCCCAAGAGTTGTCTATTCTATTCACTTGCCCATTCTTTAAATTGGATTAATTTTTTTTGGATGAGTAAACTATATGAGTTCTCTGTGTATTTTAATTATCAGTCTCTTGTCTGAGGAATAGTTTGCAAATATTTTCTTTGGGGGCTGGCAGTTGACATGATTGTTAGGGTGTTGGACTCCCACATGGCCAACTGCAGACTGGAGACTTGCTTTCTCACTTTCTCTCACTTTTCCTCTCTCTCTGTCCCTCTCTGGTCAAATTAAAATAAATAAATAAATAAATACAACTAAATAATTTTTTAAACATTTTTTTTCCTTTTTGTTCTATTGTCCTTGTTTCTTTTGCCGTGAGGACACTTTAGCTTAATGTAATCTCTTTTGTCTATTTTGGGGACTATTGCTTATGCTTTAGGAGTCTTATTTAAAAAATCTTCAAAAGTTTCCCCTACATTTTCTACTAGGATTTTTTTTTTTTTTTTTTTGGAGAGGTTTTCGCTACAGGGCGTGTGCACTCGCCAGACAGACAGAGACAGACATAGAGACAGAAAGCGAGAAATCACCCCCCAGGGGGGATGGTCACGCCGCAGTCCCTTCTCCTCCATTCTCCCCTCAGGATCTTGGGCACACACGTACACGCGCCTGGCGTGAGTTTTAAGCCACCGGGTCCGGGACGCGAACCATGGTTGACTACGTGGGAGTCCAGCGACATAGCCATTACACTAACTGCTGGTTCCCACTACTAGTAGTTTTATGGTTTGAGGCCTTGTATTTAAATTTTTGATCTATTTCGAGTTGACTCTTGTTATTGGTGAGCGATAGGGGTCTGGTTTCATCTCTGCAGTGGATATCCAGGTCTCCCAGCACCCTTTACTGAAAAGACTTTTCTCCACAATACTGGCTTTTTTTTGTACTTTGTGAAAGACCCATTGGCAGTATGAGCTGGGGTTTGGTTTTTGGATTCTCTGTTCTATTGATGTATGTGTCTGTTTTTGTGGCAGTACCATGCTGTTTTTATTATCATTGCATTGTAATATATTTTAAAGTCAGACAGTGTGATACCCAGGGAAGGGCATCCTATGTTCTAGGATTGAAAAAGTTCAATATAATCAAAATGTCAGTTCTACCCAAAGTAATTTACCTGAGATACTCTTTATTGAAATAGAAAAAACAGTTTTAAAATTTGCGTGGAATATTGAAAGAGCTCGTATCACCAAGGCAATATTGTGCTGTGAAGTATTTCTAAGTAATAAATACTGTGCAATTGCAGGTTTCTCTTATGGTGGCCAAAGATGCAGAAATGCATAGGAGCAAGCTGCAGTACTTCATGGAGCAGTTCTACGGCATCATCAGGAACACAGATGCCCACAGCAAGGAGCTGGCCATCGCCGTCCGTGGATATGGACTTTTTGCAGGAGTATGGCCCACTTACTTCCTGTTTTACCTCTCAGTGCCACTCGAGTGTTTAAAGGAGTGCAGTGTGTTACGTTTTGGAATAGTGGCTTGTACTTGTGTCACAATTACCGTCATTCATTTTAGTAACAGCAAAGGGTTATCTGTGTATGAATTCTTGGTGCGTTTTATCTCAAATTCTCATAATTCGTCTACAAACTGAGTAGTTGTCTTGTTTTTCAGGTGAGGAAAGTGAGCCTCAGGGAAGTTAGGTAACTTCAGAGGACACACTAAGTTGGTAAATCAAGATATAATTCAAGTCGGAAGCCTAGAAATACTATTTCTCTACTGTGCTAGTCTGCCCCTATTAAGGAAGTGAAATTGTATTGATTTCATGAGTTTTAGAAAAGGAAGTTTATATGACAGAAAGAGATTTAAGAATATGAAAAATAATCCTACTTATTTCCCTCATAGTGGATCTTCATGATTTCTACCTTACAGAGAAAGTAACTTATTGTCTCTCTTTTTGCAAATCTATCCATTGATGTCTACTCTTTCTTTTTTTTAAGAATTACTTAATTTTAGGGACCAGCAGTTAGCATAATGGCTGTGTCGCTGGACTCCCATGTAGTCGACTGAAGTTCGCATCCCAGACCCGGTGGCTTAAAACTCAGGCTGGGCGCGTGTGCGTGCATGCCCAAGATCCTGAGAGGAGAATGAAGGAGAAGGGATTGCGGCATGGCTATCCCCTGCGGGGGGTGATTTCTCTCTTTCTGCCTCTCTGTCTCTCTCTGTCTGGCGAGCACGTGCCCTATAGCAAAAAAAAAAAAAAAAAAAAAAAAAAAAAAAAAAAAATTTTTTTCAAAAAAAAAAAAAAAAAAAAATTGTTGGCAGTGAGAGAGAGAGAAGAGAAGGAAAGTGAGAAGGCAAGCCACTGGGTCTAGTCCTTGAACTGCATTTAGCCACTTGAGAGTCCAGCACCTTAATCATCACGCTACCTGTTGGCCCCTCTCTTTTTTCTCTTCAGTTGCCAGAGAGTGTGTTTGCCTTCAGGAAGAGAGAGAGAGAGAAAGTCTCCCCACCACAGTTCTTTCTACATTTCTCCATCCTGTCAGGATTTTTGGCATGCATGTAAAAGCACTGGCCATGTTTTTCAAATTGCCCAGGTGGGATTTGAACTACAGTCTGTCATGTGCGGTCTGATTCCCATAATGCAGGGCTTACCTGCTGTATTATGATACTGGCCCTCCCTCTCTTTAATCTTTATCTCCATTTATGTCTGTTGGCTATTTTATTAATAAATACACTTAAGGCAGAAGAAGCAGTATGTGAGAAGTCTCAGAGGTAAGAGATGGCGTGGGATTTCTCCTTTCTACCCTGTGATCTAACCAACCTGGACTCGTCTTCACTGTGTGGGAGACTGTAGTCAGGATGTGAGGGACACGAATGATGGGAGAGGACTCTGAAAAGTCCTCCTGGAGTCTGACAGGGTTTGGAGGTTGACACATCTGACATTTAGTGGTCGTATTACTGATTGTGTGACTTCTAAGGTGCCTCTGGGGGTGGTGTCATAGTGCGTTCCATTACGTGTTCAGCTCTGCTCTCGTCCTGTGGGCGAGAGCCTTGTGGAGGCAGTGACTACACCTCCTTCCTCTCTGATGCTCACCTTCTGAACAGTGCCTAGAACATAGCTGACAGTACGTGTTTTGTGTATGAATATTTACAAAGTGGTTATAGATTATTGTACAAAACACCTTTATAAGATACTGCATTTTATTTTGTATTCTTGATGAAAAAGCTTGTTAGTAATTAGTTTATAATCACCTGGTTTAGCACAACACCTTAACTATTTTGCCTTTGGTAAGACTGATAAAGACTTCGTTTTACTTCCCTAAAGCCTTGCAAGGTTATAAATGCAAAAGATGTTGACTTCATGTACGTTGAGCTCATTCAGCGTTGCAAGCAGATGTTCCTCACCCAGACCGACACCGTGGACGACCATGTTTACCAGATGCCAAGCTTCCTCCAGTCGATTGCAAGTGTCTTGCTTCACCTTGACACAGTGAGTGCAGCAATTGCTTCATCGAGCACAGCTTTAAGTATTTAATCTCTTCAAATAACTTGGTTGAGTCGTATTATGCATTTAATGGAGGTGCCATCATGATCAGCAAATTTTTTTAAAGAATTATTTTATTTATTATTATTCTGTTTGACAAGAGAGACAGAGAGAGGGAGGGAGATATGAGAGAGGAAACTGTCAGGTCCGGGATCCACACTGGCATTGGCCATGTGAGAGTCTAGCACCTTAATCACCATGTCACCTACTGTCCCAGATCACCGTATATATACATATATATGTGTGTGTGTGTACACATATATATATACACATACACACATATATATAAGTATTTTCTTTTAGAGAGAGGCTTTTATTTTATTTTATTTTTATTTTTTTGGAGAGGTTTTTGTTATAGGATGCATGCGCTCGCCAGAAAGACAGAGAGACAGAAAGCGAGAAATCACCCCCCGGGGGGATGGCTACGCCACAATCTCTTCTCCTCCATTCTCCTCTTGGGATCTTGGGCACACACGCACACGCGCCTGGCGTGAGTTTAAGCCACCGGGTTTGAACCACGTGGATTTGAACCACGGTTGGCTACATGGGAGTCCAGCGACAGCCATTATGCTAACTGCTGGTCCCTAGAGAGAGTTTTTTTTATAGGGTGCATATACTCGCTGGAGAGACAGAGAGACAGTGAGAAATCACCTCCCGGGAAGGGAGGATACACTGCAGTCTCTTCTCTGCTAATGTGCTCTTGGGATTTTGGTTAGGCACATCATTTTTTTTAACTACCACACAATATGAAGCCTCTATTTTTAATGTGATCTTTGTATATCAAGAATATCAGAGTAATCCTTTTACAAATGGAGCTGATTTATCGAAGAAGCAATGAAAACCAAACTGGTATTTGATGTGAACCCATGAATTTAAGCTTCAAGTCTAGTTAAGAAGTTTGTTACAATCGCTTTTAGTTTTGTGTCTGACTCTCCTGAGATCTTCCCATCAGCCCTGATAGTGCCCACAGGGGCTTGGTCCTGGCTGATGGCTCGAGACAAGAAAACATTCTCAAGTTTTGTGGTTTTACTGGGCTCCAGTTTATCAAAACACCGTCTTACACCAGCTTAGATAACAGCCACTTGTTCTTCAATGGCCATGGGAGAATACCGACCTTGCTTCAGCAACTCAGGCAGGCACACACCACGACTCAAGAGTTGTTAAGTGTCAGCCTCAAGGTCAGAACTGAACTGGGCAAAAGCAGCAAGCTCAGGACCCTGAGCTGATCCAGCACCGTGGTACCTGCCACCTGCTTTGGGACACAGACAGACTGACATAAATGGCAGGCCGGATACAATTCTTTTCACAAGATCTGCCCGTCGGTGATGGAAGTGACGTGCGTGGGCAGGTGTACAGACACGTCACCAGCCTGCCTGTCAGTGACGGGTAAAGCAGTCAAGGAGTCACTCTAAAAGGACCGTTCCTTTGGGTGCTCTCTCTAGCGGACGGGAGTGTAAGTAGAACTCGCCGCCAGGATAAGCCTCTCAACCAGGGTGTCGGCGGAGCAAAAGAGACATGTGACGGTAAGCAGCAGCCTGTTTGGGTAAGTCGTCATAGACGATCAGAGCGTGTTTGCCATTGTCACTAAAACACTCTCCCGTGGAACAGCCGGAAGGAGCCAGGCCCTGAAGGGGGCAGCACCAGGAGTTGTAGCTGACACTGCAGTGGGGCCCCTCGTGGCATCTGCATCTGCAGTCTCTTCACCAGCTGGACTCCAGTGGATCGCTTGACCAATAGCAACATATATATAGTACAGCTTTTTCTTTTCATTAATTCCATCGTTGAAACGGTTTTGGTTAATGATTATGTACATAGCAATTGAGGTTTTCCCAGTTTGTCATCAATAATCAGCTCACTCTGGCCACGACCACTTGGTACCAAACTATCCACAGCCTTAATGCCAGTCTGCATTGGTTCTCACACAGAGATTCGAGGAATGATTCCAGGGGCTTTTAGGCCTTTTTGGGTCCAGAAACCAATTGGACCCTTTCCATCAGTAGCATTACCAAGGGCATCTACTACATGGCCCAAGAGCTCCTCCTCAGCTGGAACGTCCACAATGGCTCCTGTCCTCTTCACAGTATCTCCTTCCTTAATTAGTTTACCATCTCCAGACACGACAACAGCAAGTGCGAAGAGATACCCTTTAAGCCTGAAGGAAGAACATTCCTCAGTCCAGGTACTCGGGTGATGCCTTTACCAATACTTGGGACATGCCTGGTCTCTTCAAGGTCAACAACAGTATCAGCTCCAAGAATTCGCTCTTCAAGAATAGAGGATGGGGCTGGTAGGTGGTGTGGTGGTTAAGGAGCTGGACTCCCACATGGCTGATCATGGTTTGAGGCCTGGACCTAGCAGCTCTCACTCACTCTCGTGCTCTCTCTCTCTCGTCAACTTAAAAAAAAAAGAAAAACTAATTAAAAAAAAAGAATAGAGGACATCTCAGCAGTGCCAGTCTTGGAGGACGAGTAATAGAGGTGTGGAGAGTCCTCATGGCAATAAAGGATGATGCCCAAGCATTTTTGGTGACCAGCCTGACCTGCGAAGGGTGGGTGTGAGCCACGGCTACGCACACAAGCAGCATCTTCTCAGCTTTTCTTCTGGTGGTTCCTCTGCAGCCGCAGCCTCCAGGCTGACTCTGGGTCACTGTGTTTTTAACGAGTATTTTGTATCGATAGAATTATCATGAAACTTGAGATTTTTTCAGTGTCATCTGGACAGTTCTCCCTGATGTTTTTAGGCAGTTACAATAATGTTAAACTAAGCAGATGAGCTAACAAGCCAGGATTTTCATTTATACATCGTGTGTAACTCAGTTGTAATTGAAATGTTCGTGTTATCCCTGTCCTTATATATCCCCTCCTCTGACCTTCAGTTTGCTCTCTACTCCTCGCAGGTTCCTGAGGCGTATACTCCAGTTCTGGAGCATCTCATGGTGGTGCAGATAGACAGTTTCCCACAGTATAGTGCGAAAATGCAGATGGTGTGTTGTAGAGCCATACTGAAAGTTTTCCTTGCCTTAGCAGAGAAGGGACCAGTGCTCTGGAAGTGCATTAGTACTGTGGGTAAGCTTGCTATATCAGTCTTGCTTTTAGGATGATGAATGGTAATTACTCGACATGTTATTTTACACAGCTGAAGAAAATATGCTTGCTAAATTATTTTGTTTCTTTTTATTTATTTATTTTTAAAATTTGCCAGAGGGTGCATGTGCTTGAAGAGAGACAGGGAAAACAAAAAAGTATCCCTCTGTGGGACATGGTCATGCTGCAGTCCCTTCTCATCACTCCCTCTTTTTGGGATTTTGGGCATGCATGCACCTGAACTCATGCGTTTGTCATACTGCCAGATCCAGGGCTTAAACTGCATAGTCAGCCATGTGGGATCCAGCTCATGCGTTTGTCAAACTGCGTAGTCAGCCATGTGGGACCCAGCTGTCTGCATCACCAGACCATGAGCTGGCCTTGTATTTTTTTTTTTTTTTTAAGTTAGTCTGTTTCTTCCATGAGAGAGAGACAGGCACCCCCACATGCTGTGTTCTGTCTCTGGTCTCAGCCCACCTGGATCTCGGGTGCACCACACACACATACACAGCATGCATGGGGTGTTACAGGTACGAGTCCAGGGTCTTCCCACATGGGTCCAGTTGTAGTACTGTTGTGCCACTGGCCCTAATTTTGAATATTTAATGTTTCTTAAAAACTTTTAAGATTGGGACCAGCAGTTAGCTTAATGGCTATTCGCTGGACTTCCATGTAGTCGACCACGGTTTGTGTCCTGGACCCGGTGGCTTAAACTCACGCCTGGCGCGTGTGCATGTGTGCTCAAGATCCCGAGAGGAGAATGGAGGAGAAGGGATTGTGGCGTGGCCATCACTCCTGAGGGGTGATTTCTTGCTTTCTGTCTCTCTGTCTGTCTTTGTCTGTCTGGCGAGCACATGCGCCCTATAGCAAAAACCTCTCCAAAAAAATACACAAAAAACTTAAGACTGCGGTGGGATCAGAGTCTCCTTTTCATTCTTTTGTTTCTGGTTTTTTTTTTTCATTGCCAGATATAGTGTGCACTGCCAGAAGAGAGGAGACATACAGAAACGAGGAGGGAGGTAGCACTCCCAGTAGTGTGTGGCCATATTGCAGCCCCTTTTCTCGGCCATTTCTCCATCCTGTCCAGATTCGGTGCATGCACACACAGGTGTGTGACATGTTTTTCAAGCTGCTAGTGCTGGAATTCAAGCCACAGTTGGCCATTTGGGATCCAGTCCCTTAACCACTAGGCCATAGGGTTGGCCAGCTGCTGAATCTTAACATTTGTAACTTCATTCATTCATTCATTTAATTTTTTTTTTTTTTTTTTAGATTTGTACTACAGAGTATGTGCACTCACTGGAGAGACAGAGAGACAGAAAGTGAGAAATCACCCGGAAGGGGGGATGGCCATGTCACAGTCCCGTCTCCATTCTCCTCTCGGGACTTAAGGCACGCATGCACCTGAGTTTTAAGCCACTAGGTCTGGGTCTGCAAACCATGGTTGACTATGTGGGAGTCAATATAACTATTATACCATCTGCTGGTCCCAATATATGTAGTTTTAAAGTTAAAGACATCAGTGAACTTAGAAATTAAATTGAGAAGTATAGTTATGTTCTAGAAATAATGAGTATTGTTTTTAAGTGTTTGATTTCATTTTTCATTGTTTTCTTTTTTCAGTGCATCAGGGTTTAATCAGAATTTGTTCTAAACCACTGATCCTTCCAAAGGTAAATTCTGAATCTTATGTTTCAAAAATGAGTTTTCTCACTGAAAATTAGAAATGTGACTGAGGTTTCAGTATCTAAACAAATGCGGGATCTTATAATTATTAGCCATGCCTTCCAGTGGAAAGTATAAGACATAATACCTCCACCTTTTGTCAGGAGAATACACCTCTCCTACGCTTGAATATATCCTCAAGTGTGACTTTACTGTTATACATGTTCTTGTAAGAAGAAACGTTTTCTTTCTTAAAACTCAAGGGCAAATGCTAAGGTATGACTTGGGAGGCATAGCTTAATTCTGGAGGTAACAGGAACTAGGGTGAGAGGCTAAGATTTCTTAGAAAGTGTGATAAATTATTTGTAGTGCATTCAAGAGTATTGTGTCAAAATACTTGTTTGTTCATCAGAATCATACATTTTTTTTCAGCTTTTTCTTGAGTAATGTCTTCCTTCGCTTAATTATGTAATCTGCCACTGATAGCGTCTTAGCCTAGCAAATTCCATGGCGATGAGTTCCGTCAATAAGCATTGGTGTGTTATCTCCTGACCAGGGCACCGAGCCTGACTCTGAAGACCACCGGGCCTCGGGGGAGGTTAGGACTGGCAAATGGAAAGTGCCCACACACAAAGACTACGTGGACCTATTCCGAAACCTCCTGACCTGCAGCCAGATGATGGTAAAGTTAGACTGCAAGCCATGAAAGTACCCTAGTTCTTCTCTGTACTAGTCTTTGTGGTTTTAGATGTAAGACTGACTTATATCAGATTAGATTTTACTAACTTTGAAAAGTTTTTTTTTTTATTTCAAGTTATAAAAAAAATTAACACTGTCAGGATAGTTCAAATGAGACTAGATAAAAGAGGAAGGAAACACTGACATAGAGCTCTTTTGACAGTAAAGCCTGTAGTTGAGTCATCATTTTACGTTTAAGTAACAGGTTAGTACAGTTGGTGCTAAATGGCTCGGACAGGTTCAGCCTATTAGGTAACAAAACATTCTTTGGTACCATCACCACAGAACTGGTTTTTTTTTGTTTTTTCATTGTTTGAGATAAAGATAGGCTTAGGTAACAAAACATTTCTTTGGTACCATCACCACAGAACTGTTTTTTTTGTTTGTTTTTTCATTGTTTGAGATAAAGATAGGGACCAGCAGATGGTGTGATGGTTATGTCGTTGGATTCCCATGTTGTTGACTGCAGTTCAAGTCCTGGACCCAGTGTCTTAAAACTCAGGCTGGACCTGTGTGCATGTGTACCCAAAATCCTGAGAGGAGAATGAAGGAAAAGGGATTGTGGCGTGGCCACCCCCCTGGGGGGTGATTTCTCGCTTTCCATCTCTCTGTCTCTGTCTGTCTGGTGAGCGTACCCTCTGGCAAAAATCTCTCTTTAAAGAAAAAGATAAATCTCATTGATTCAGTAGGTATGAAGGGGTTGGTGCATAGCTGTCATTTACATACTTATGTCTAGAAGAATGCCCCCTTCCTGATATATGGCAGTGTTTGGGAACTCCACATGGGATTACAGAGTGTTCAGTGCTTTCTAGAGATAGCCAAATTAAAGATAATGGGCAGATGAAAAAGAAAGTGCCTTCCCTTTTCTCTATCCCCAGTTTTCCACACCCTAGTGAAAAACATGCTTAAAGCTGCCAGGTGGCAGATGTTTCTTTTTTATTTTAAAGAATTATTTAATTATATTTTTCATTATTACTATTCAATTTGAGTAGACAGAGACATAGAGATAGAGATAGTGAGAAAGGAAGCTGCCAGGTCCAGTACTTGAACCATCGTAGGTTATATGGGTGGCTAGTGCTTTCACATGTACTTGGTAAAGCATTATTAGTCAGGACAAGTTTCTGTCAATAGTTGTTTTTTTTTTTTTTTTTGGGGGGGTTTTTTCCTTTAGGGCCCGGGCGCCCCCCCAAAAACAAA